TAGCAGCATCACAGCACAGCTGCGAGGTTCATGATCAATGTTAATGAAAGCACCAAAGTCTGCCAGCATGGTTTCCTCATCCCATTTCTATGGTCTTGTCATTCTCGCTCATTTGCATTCAAGGGGGCTTTCTTGAGTGGACGAGAAAGGAATTACAGGAGAGGACAGGGAGTTATACGCAATCATCAGTCATTAGGTGTTATCTCTGCCTGCTTCAAGGTTTCTCCCTAGAAGGAGAAGTAGATCCTGTAGCAGAATGTGATCCACCATGGTTGGTAGAAACCACCACATTAATGGTTGAGAATCTTCTATGAATATGTGTCAGATGCTGCTATCAGGACTCCAGAATCAATGTTCTGATGTGCTTCTCTAGGCCAGCAATCTAAAGGGGTCTTTTCTTCTTTATGTTTGTTGGTTTCATCTCCTTCCACTGCACTCATGCACTAGGGAATGGTGAACAACATTCATTAACTACCTGCATTATGTTTAATTCATTGACTTTCCAGGCCAAGGAGCCATCAATGCAATGAGATGCAAGCCCAGCATTTCTGCACTGTAGGGTCAGAGTGACTGGCAATATGAATGACTAAATAACCACATTAAATGCTTGGTAGAAATCTGAGGTAGGCTAGAAATTATTACTTAGCTGGGCTTGCTTGCAAGGAAAATTACAGTTCCATTACCTTTCTTTTAAAATGGATTCAGAAATAAGTGCATTTTCCATTTTTCAAAGAGATTTCTGCTGGCACTAAAAAATCTGGTACAATTTAGTACCATGTTAGACAATCACACTTTTCCATTTAGAGGAATGTACAATCAGAGATATTGAACAGACATTTCAACCTTGTCATTTAGCCACATGAATTTCTAGATCTAATTCATTTATAATATTGCTGGGCATTCCATTCATTTCCTTTAAACATGTAATAATAGTAGGTATTTTTCTAGACATTTCCAGTGTACATTGTAGCAAAACTGGGCCACCAGATTTGGTTGACCAAGAATCTACACATATCTCCTCCATTTGCATAAAATCTTAGCACCTTAACAACAATTTGCAATGCTTTTCACCAACAGCTAGGAGCACTTATTTAATTAATAAGGAAAGCAGCTGTCACTTCTCATTTGACAGACTCAAAATAGAAAGAGAATGCAATTTAACCAGATTTCACTTTGAAGCGGTTGATTCGAATTGTTGGTAGGATTGGGGTTGCTGAGGAACCCAGTTCAAAGTAAAGATCAGACCTCTAGGGAGAGTTAGTGAAGGATGAATGAGGAAGGGCAGCTTGTTGGAAACATCTTCTCTGAGAGCTGTGTCAACATGTGCTCAGAGTCAAAGCTCATGGAAAAGTCCCATCTCTCCTGACCCGCTTTGCATCTGACAGGGTTTGAGTTCAAACTAGTGAAAATATTAAAACAGGCACCAGAGGGAGATGGCAGGATCCAGACTTATTTATAAATAAATGCTAAAGGTAGATTGGAGGAAATCCGGGGGATTAATTGGACATCAACTTTAGGACTACTCTTACTGTTTGTACTATGTTAAATTGGTGAAGTTGGGTACACTTTTTAAAAAACTGATATATGAGTTACTTTTGAAGACTGGGGCATGTGGAGATGCTTTTACAAATGCTTACACTTTTAGGGTAAAGATGCAGGATTTAAAAAAAAAAATAAGGAGGGCGGCCGGCAGGTTAGCTCAGTTGGTTAGTTAGAGTGAGGTGTTATAATACCAAGGTCAAGGGATCAGATTCCTGTACTGGCCAGCCACCAAAAAAAAAAAAAAAAAAAATTCAATTTAAGGCTGTAACAATATGTAATATACTTAACAGATTTTTTTAATATTCTGCAGAGAAAAGATGGAGATGGAGTGGAGGGAAGGGATCCTAGGGTGTTCTAAGGGTGGTAGTGTTTATTGCTAACCCTCCAGATGGGGCAACACTACATGTGCTGACAAGGAGCCAAGAGAAATGCATTTGAAACTCCAAAAACTTCAGTATGGCTTGTGCTGGTATATAAGTTCTGGGCAGCAGGGTAGACAGGTAGGCAGGGGCCACCTCACAGAGTCCTGGAACTTCTGAGCCAACCACTTCAAACAAAAACATAAACAGTTTGAACTAAATACAAACTAATTTTCCAATCAGGTATGATTTGTCCTATTTCTGAGATTCATGTTGAGCAGCCGTAACAGTTCATCGTGTTTCAGTTGTCAGTGTTTGTTATGTAGAGCTATCATTTGATCATATAAAAAGCACGGATTTAACTACTAAAGTGACGAGGTGAGCTTTCATATGGGATGAGTGGAGTATACGAATCTCACTTACATTTATTGGTTTTTTTCCTAAAGATTGTAGAGTGCAGGTAGTGCCATCATATATTCTGCATAGATACGGACCACTCTGCGCTATGTGCAGGTGAATCATTTACTTTGTCATAATTCACAGTGGTCCACAGTTGACAGTTGGTAACACTGAGCAGAAGTTGGGGGCATTTTTGTTCGTATGTCAATGTCAATATGCCGATTGTGATTCAATTCTGAAGCTGAATCATCGCTTTTGGATTGTACGTTTAATCTTTTTTGTTCCTCTCGTCTCAAATTATAGATTAAGAAAAGATGATAGAGCATTTTACTGAACTACTTCTAAAGAGTTTGGTTTTTTTTTTCTCTTCTATTTTCATATCAAATAACATTTAAAAACTTGGTTAACTTCTAAAGTATATCAAGAATTCATAGCTTTAACTAGTTTTTAAAAAGATCATAAATTTTTATGTTATTAAGTGTTAGTTTTTCTTTATGAATGTTGTGACTGATTCCTGTAAACAGATAATTCAGGCACATTAATTATGCACTAGATACAACAAACAAAGAGATACAGAGAATTACCAGGAAGTCGGGGGCACTGGTTTACACCTTTCCTGGTTGCTTCTGTTTGGCTATTTGTTGATGGGAGAAGGTTAGGTTGCATTTATGCATTCATATGCCAGTTAGATTTTTTTTTAAGTTTTTAAAAGCAGTCACAGAATACTATATTTGGTTATTAAATCATTTGTTTTTTTAAGTCTTTGCTAATTAATGCACTTACTGAAATAGAAAAAGTGAATGTTCAAAAGCTAAATTTTACCATAAATAAAATTTTTGTGTGGAGCTTGATCCGTTCAATTCACACAGTTGGCTCAGTGGGAACCATGACGCATGAATGATTCTTAGAATTAATCACTGAAGTAAAAAAAATGCCGTATCTCATAGTTTCTGAGACACATTTTTTCCCCCACATTTTAACTTCTCTGAAATCAGAATGCATTATGCAAAGTCCTAAGAAAACATTAAGTCATATTTGAATTGACAAGGACATTTCTTTCTTACTGATAGATAAAATAATGGCATGTCAGTGTCTTAGAATGTGAGAAATACAGTGGTACTCGTATTTTACAGAGTGCCCAATAAGTTTTTTATATAAAAATGTTAGACTATAATATTAAATTATTATTTGAAAGGAAATGGTAATGTAGTCAGTGTCTAAGGTATTTCTGGCAATTTAGATATTTATAAATAATAATATTAAAGTTCTATAGCTGTGAAATGTAAATTTTATAAAACCTGGACATTTTAATTCTTTATAAAACAGATGTTTACCCTCAAGTACTTTAGAGCAAATGAAAGTTCAAACATCTCTGCTCAGCCTCTTGATACACACTGGAAACTTCCTCAGAGGAGGTTTGAAGGTTTTAGAAAAGATTAGTGTTTGTACTTGTGAAAAAAGAAAGTTATGAGATCCACTTTTCACTGCTGGCTATGTGTGCTGGCCTGCGAGCCAGAAGGTTCTCCCCATGGGTCAGCTGGGTCTGGCTTCCAATGCCTTTGCAAGTACCATAGTGGGTTAAAAGATGAACGCAGCCATCCCCAGGTACTGGGAATGCTGGCTTATATAGCACACACTTAAAAATGGCTAAGTAAAACATTTTTGGCATTAAATGACATTTAAATAAATTCTTATGGAAATATTTATAGTATCAGTAATATGTTACACTGAATGTATTCTTTTTTGTTTTACAGGGTGGATCTACGACATCACACAAAAATATGATTTTTCCTTCTATATATGTGGTTTGCTTTATATGATAGGAATTCTCTTTTTACTCATTCAACCATGTATTCGAATTATAGAACAATCCAGAAGAAAATACATGGACAGTGCACATGTTTAGTGTCATGTAATGTTTCGTGTCAGATTTCATGGTGGTCCTCAAGCCTACCTCACATGGGTGCTGTGAGGAGCCTATGACATTGTGTGGGAAAGTTCTTTGTATGGTAACTGGCACTGCCACCTGTAAATGCCATTGTCATTGTTATGTCATCTGTAAGCAGCACTGCCTCTCTGTTTGGTGGGACGCAATGCTGGAAAGTATTAAGGACTATGTATGTTTTAGAGATGACAGTGTTCTTCAAAGACAACCTATTAAATGATCGGTAGAAATGCTCTTCTTAAAACTATTCTCTTACCATCCACTGGGACTAGGGTTTTAGATACAGTTTTTAAAACAAAGACAGGGAATAAAAGCTTTTCAACTCAACTACTTCTTTGTAAGGTGAAACCAAATTATCTGTATGCTTCTAGAAAGCTTACAGATAAATGGGTTTCAAGCACAAGAATATGACTAGATTTCAGAAATTAATTATTACAGTATGAAAAAAAGGCAGGCTCTAATTTCAAAGGTAGTGCAATTTAGTACAATCAGAGAAACACAGTTTATATTTTTATGAAAGAATTCTGCAGCTAGAATTCGATTTATAAATCTTCCTCTAAAAGAACGCATTTCTCATCAGTCCTAATTCGGTATTATCCAAAAGTAAACTGAATCTTGAGACAAAACCTTAACAAATAAGTCATACTGCTGATTTCCTTAGTGGAAGCTGTTTGTACACACAACCATTGAATCAAGGGCTATGATTCAAGCACTTTTATTCATATCATTGAGCATGATCTGGCACCTCTAACAATTTTTTCTGAGTTCCTCCTGCCCAGTATATATAATGGAGAACTAATTGCTCGTTGACATATAAAGTTGGTGGTGAAATCATTTGTAAAGCATGATGCTAATCCAAAATATAAGACTATCAAGTTATAAGGGTAATAAATGGAATGCCCTTGGTCTAGATGTCTGTGCGTCTGACATTGGAGTAGTGGTAACGATAGCCTGCCTCCAGGGCCTCTTGTCATATAGATCACTCATTTGCCTGAGCTCAGCACAGTTGTAAAAATAGTTCTCTTGATTGATTTCATAACAGAAGATAACTGTGATCCATGACATCAAATATTGCCCTTCCTTTGTCTGAGGTGTCTATTTTTCTAAGCCAAACATTTTTCAGACTGCAGAATGTTCTTCCTAGAATCATTTTGAAATTTCTGGCTGCCTTACTTGTTTACACATATTTTAGAACTATTTAAATTTCTACTCGCAATTTGCTCATCACACCAAAAATCCTTTAATATCATCGCCAGTGTCTTGGGTCAAATTTATATAAAGTGGTTACAGCCCATCCTCAATTATCCTGGGTGATTAGAGGCAGGAATGCTACTAGGAATTGTAATTACAGAATGTTACTCCAAGTCTAATTTTAGCGAGCAGTTTCAGTTACACTCCGACAAGCCCTTCCGAGCTGTTAACAAGTGATTAAATGGAAAATTTTCCTTTCTGTATCATCTCCATTATTTCCTGCTCTAATGTCTAGTGGGAGGGGTTGTGTAATGAAAGGACTACCAAAATAACAATAATGACAAAAGGCAGCTAATGGAAAGGAGAAACAAAAGCATGGCTAATATACACACTCAATATTACCTCCAGTGATTCAAGAATTGCCTGTAAATTATTATAGATAATAAATTGCATGTCATCCTCCACTGGTTCAACACAGCAACCTGTTATCATTACAGCTTTGGCTGCTGTTAATGAATCCATCTCTCTATTTTGATAAAGGTAATCTTACAAGCTGAGGCAATGCTACACACACACACACATTTACCATAACATTAGGATGATTAGATAGAAAAACGTGTGTTTTATTTTATTTTATTTTTTTAATTTTTTTGTCTTTTTTCCGTGTCCGGCAACGGATCGCAACCCTCAGTGTTGCCCCCGTACCGGACCGGGGACCGGCAACGGGATTGCAACCCTCGGTGTTGCTCCCGCGCCTCGCTCAGCCAGTGAGCGGGAACCGGTCTGTATGTGGGATCCGAACCCTCGGGCGGGAGCACCGCTGTGCTTCCCAAGCGGCGCACTATCCAGTGCGCCACCGGGCCGGCCCAACATGTGTGTTTTAAAACTGACTACATTACTTCATTACTTTCATTTTCTGATATTATTAAATTAACAAGAGGCAGTGTTAAATATTTTGAATGGTGCTATAGCCAATGGGTTTGGATTCCTGCACTGCTGGTTGTGCATCATAAATATGAACTTTTTATTCAGTAACTAGGCTTTATTTACATCCAAGTTACCTGCTCACTTCAGTTTGTACAGTTATTTGTTGACTTACTGTATTTATGGAAGTGGTGACTTCTATCAAGTCAGA